GGAGGATGGTAATCGCTTTGTGCCAACCACGATTTTTTCACCGCTTGGCCGTCGGTTGACCCTCGAATGGGATTGGAGTGGTGAATTGTCGCGATTGTCTCAAGTCAAAGACGAATATCGAACCTTGTGCGACATTACTTACAATGCGTCGATTCTACAAACATCGATAACTGTTTGGCCCAACACCAAGGACGAATATACGGTGGAGTTTGATTTTATCAACGATCAACTGGACACCGTTCGCGGCAGGTAGGGCTCAAACACCGAATGAATAAGAATCAAAGACCATTTAAACGGACACAACCAAATTGTTTGCTTTCAAACTTTGTCTCGCTCACACCCACAGTTTAGATGTTCTTTATATTTCCAATATTTATCTTTTTCATTTCACATTTTTCAATAGTTTCAATGATCTTATTGTTATTAATAAGCAGTTTGGCTTTTCTAAATGTTCAATTTGTATCATTTTTGTTGTTCCTGCAATGCGAATAGGTTTCTGGTGCGAAGAAACTAACTTGGAATTTCATCTATGATCAACTCGTTGACATAGTCGATTTCGGGACGAAATTAACATTGACCCGTGTCGAATATCCATCTGGTATGAGAGATGAGGTGGAATACAACGTGCAAGAAGGATTGAAACTTCCTGAACAATCGAATCGGAATTCCACTGTGCCAGCTGTGCACACTCACACTCGTTATCTGGGCAGCAATCAACCGGAGATGGTGACTCAATACGAGTATACAACTCAAAATTTCCTCGGCTTCAACGGTGATTGTGGCGAATGGTCGGCTGATAGAGACTACCTATACCAAACGCTCACCGATTACACTTACGGTTCAACGGAAACTGTGACGAGTGGCCAAGAAACTGTAACCACCGAACGGACCTACAACAGCTATCACTTGGTGATATCCGAAGAGGTCAAGAGACAAAATTGCACACATCGCACTGAATACACGTATTATGCCAAGCCTTATGACAGCATAGAGGCACAGCCCGCGCAATTCCAGTTGCCAAAAGAGAAGAAAGAGATTTTCATCGACGAAAACAAGCGTACTCGTACACAGATCACGACAACGGAGTTCGACACCAGTGGCAACCCAACAAAAGAAATCAGCCCCGATGGAACGGAGACTCGGACAACGTGGTACTCGGCAAACGGTGAAAACGGTTGCCCTGCTGAGCCGAATGGCTTCGTCCGATTCATGAAGGAACAGAAAACCATTCCACGGCGCATCAGCGGTTCCGAAAAAGAGGTTTCCAAAAAATACACGTACGCAAAACTAGGGGACACAAATTATGTCGTACAGGCTACTGAATTGGGCTATCATGATGGAGTGCTCTTTGATCAACGATCAACTGCATACAATAGTCAACGAGGAAGTGCTGAATTCGGTCGCATCACCAAAATTACTGATTTGTTTTATGATTTGAACGACAGAACGAAATCTTATTCAAACACAAAGAGGTTCACAACGGAGGTGAAAGATGGCGAAATGACACAAACCACACATGCAACCGGTCACGATGGCCTTCAAACGAATTCAACACGGCGACAATCCATTTTCAACGGTCGTGTATACAGCGAGATTTCATCTCAAGGAATCGAAACTCGGTACACTTATGATGGCGTGGGTCGGTTAACACACAGGACTCTATGCCCCGGCTCTGCTTACGAACACAGCACCACATTTGAATATGGTATTGATACGCAGGGACCATATTCAATCGAAACCGACCCAATAGGAAACAAGAGCAAAACACGATTCGACGGAGCTGGTCGTATAATCAACAGACAAAGATTCGATGCAGATAAATCGCAGTGGTTCAAAATGTTTTCCAAAGATCACAATTCGCTGGGTGAATCCGTCAGTAGCACGGTAAACGATTGGCTGGTAGGCAGCTCTGGCAAAGGTACTAACTTCCCTTTGAGCTCAACTACCGCATTTGATGGTTGGGGAGAAATGAAGAGCGTTGCGTTCTCAAACGGAAAGACACAACATCAACAAGTCGACCATATCAATCTCATCCACAAATCTTATGAACAAGGGAACATCAACAACGAACGTTTGACCAGCGGAAGTGTAATCAATTCATACGATAAAGTCAATGGAAACTTAATCAGTAAAACGCTGAAGACAGTGTCTGGTGGAGTTCACAGCACAACCCAACTTACATGGGATGGATTAGGTCATTTGCTCGAGGAAGAAGATGAAATGGGTGCAGTTACAAAAAGAACGTATGATGAATGCGGCCGTGTTATTACGCAAACATTGCCAGATGGTACCATTGTGCGGCGGACATATGCACCATACTCAGGTGGAAACGAAGTCAGTATTTATAGTTTATCTATATGAATTTATGTAGCATAACAAATCTTCATTGAACCTAAACCGTTTTTTATTCCACACTAATACATTACACAGATTGCATCTATCAGTGTCACGGGCCTAGATGCCAGTGGAAGAACAAGAACGTGGTTATTGGGAACACAAACGTTCGACAGTTTGGGAAGATTGAAAGAGCGCGTTAGTGGAGGCAGAACCACTTCGTATGCGTATCAAGGTGCATCTCCGAAGTCATCAACTGTGACTTTGCCATCCGGTAAAACCCTACACTACACGTACATACCCGAGCTGGATTATGCGATCAGCAGCATGACGACTGATGGTATTACACAAACTTTCAGTTATGACAAAACAACGGGAAAATTGTTATCGGCTTCTGAGTCGCCGTCTATAATTCATTATACTTGGTCGAAGGACGGACGTTTGACAGAGGAATCGTTTTCGTATAACGGAACAAGCAAGAGATCAAAACATGCTCAAACACTCAATGAAGCGCCCACCTCGTACACGGATGTGACGGGAAAGGAAACCCAATACACCATGAACTCACACGGCCAAGTCATCCGTATTACCGATCCAAAACTTACGGTGGATTTGACATACGATGCTTTGGGCCGACTGAAGACGAAATCGGTGAACGACAAAACTTCCAATTCATCGCTAACCACTAGATTGAGCTATGATGATTTCGGCAGAGAAATCAAACGCACGATTGCAAATGGCTCGGGAGTGACAGTGGAGCTTTCACAAACATTCCAGAAAAATGGTCTTCTGGCCACCCGTAGTACAAAGAGAAATGTTATTACAATTCGAGACGAGCATTTCGGCTATGATAATCGCAATCGATTGGTAAGCTATAGAGCCACCGGCAATAACTTACCCACCGACGCGTATGGTAATCAAATGACCAGTCAATCATACCAATTTGATGCTTTGAATAATTTGACTTCCGTAACAACTACGTTTAACGATCGTTCTTCCAACACGGCGACGTATCACTATGAGAATCAAAGCGATCCGACTCAGTTGACAAAGGTGATTGATACACACAGCAAATATCCAGAAAACATCAACCTTAGTTATGATGCTGAGGGTCGAATGACCCATGATGAAGCCGGCAGAACATTGTCCTATGATGCAATGGGTCGGTTGAAGAGCGTCATCGAGAAAAATGGACGCACTACCACATATGGATACGATGCGTTGAGTCGACTGGTTACACAAAAAATCGGCGAGAATGATATTCGCCATCTGTACTATCGTGGCACAGAGCTGGTGAACGAAATATTTGAATCCGAACATCGCGAAACTCGCCTCATCAAATCTGGCCATTCATGCTTCGGTGTAATCGATGGAGACCATCTTACGCTAACAGGCACGGACAAAAACGATAGTTTGTTGCTGTCGATGGATAGCAAAAAGGGTGCTGGCAATGCCCAACTATATGCTTGGTCACCGTACGGCAGCGGTGAGACCGACAATCCGTTGCCCGGTTTTAATGGCGAACGCGTCGACCCTTCAAGCGGAATGTATCACTTGGGTAACGGGTATCGAGCTTATAACCCGGTTCTAATGCGATTCAATTGTCCCGATAGCTTGAGCCCGTTTGGAGAAGGAGGAATCAATGCTTATGCATATTGCGCAGGGGATCCAATAAACCACACCGATCCATCAGGTAATATTCATTCTGATTGCGCCAAAGTTGATATTACATCACATTGAATTTTTTATATTTGTGTAGGCCATTTGAGTTGGCAGGCAATCACTGGAATTGTGTTGAGTGTAGCTGCCGTCGCCCTCTCTATTTTCACTGCTGGTGCATCAATCGCAGCGGCTGGAGGAGTGATGGCCGCGATGGCTTCAGCATCCACTTCATCGTTGGTTCTTGGTGGCTTGGGAATCGTATCAGATGTAACGAGTATAGTTAGTACTACATTAGAGGAAACAGCTCCAGAAGCATCAAGTATACTCGGTTGGGTGTCGTTGGCAACAGGGTTCTCTGGGTTTGTCGCTGGTGCCGCCAAGAGTGCACCAAAAGTGCTGAAAACCATTGGATCTGCTGCACGAAAAGTTACAACAGGCGTAAAGTATGGTGTTAATTACCTAAGAGGAATGGCGAAAACATATCATATTGCCGAAGCAGGTAGATTAACTTTTAAATCTGTGGTACAAGGAGCCAGTTTAACCGTTAAAAGACTTAAATCAATCGGTGAGTTCACCAAAGATTTAATGTCGAACATTATGGATATGAGAGAGAAAATTGAAGAAGCTTTAGAAGATGGTTCATCACAAAATCCAAGCGGCGTTCTTAGTAGCGGACATGACAATAACCTTGGTCTTAACTATAGATTATCCAATAGTGGTAAAATAGACAGAGATCCAGCTTTGCGTAGTTTAAAATTTTTGCAAGAAGAAAACGAAAACAAAAACAATGGTGGGAGCAAGGAAGTGCGCATTGGCAATATGCGTACCACTCCTTTCAGTAAGATGACGGAGTACACCAAGGGTGACCACCATGTGGTAATGGGCTTCTCTTTTGGTCGCAACGATGCAACTTTGAGACACTTATTAAATATACCGTCAGTTATATCGTATGCTTAAAAATTTCACCAATAGACAGATCTTCTGCGGGCGAAATATTTGTCAAACGATCGACATGGGAAACAACTTTTGAGTTTTTTTTCTATTGTTATTGATTTATAATAAAATCAAAATAAAAATACATTGTCCCAAAAATTCAATCCAATTCTTTATCATTTACAATTGTTTTTTTTACAAAATAACTAATGTTGAATCAATAATAACGAATTGCACAAGTATTAGTGTCAGTTGATACTCTGTCGGCATTTTCATTCCCAGCTAATTTCTTTCATATTTGTTCGAAATTGTGAATGATCAACTTGGTGCTGGAGTACACAGTATATATTACTTATGTGTATATTTTGTGCATATGATTGGCATGACGTACCTTTTCATGTGCAATTAACCTCATGACAAATCTCCAAACTTAAAAGCAAACTATGTGACGTGGATAAAAACCTTATTTGTTCGAGAAAAAAAAACAACATTAACAATTCTATGACATTTGCTTTTATTAAATATTTAAAAGAAACATGTTTGAAGCTACAAACTTGAAATTAATGTTTAATTTTCAACCAACACCAACTGCAGAAAGAATTATATGTATAAAAGAATATTTTCTGTGAAAATGTTCAATTTCATTTTGATCGGTAGGTCTCAATCATTATTTTAACAGTCGCAGTTGAATCAACTCGTGTGGAATCCCTTGAGCGCCATAGGTGATACAGGTTCAAGAATTTGGGACATTATTTGGTAATAATGGTGTTTACACGAGCCTGCTCATTATAAAAATGACAAGTTGGATGTTACTCTCTGAATAGTTTGTTACCGAAAAATTTTAATAGTTCAAATGGCACATTATTCACCTTTTACCCTATACTCGATTTGCTTATCAATCAAAGTTGGTGTGTTCCAATCGAAGTGTAATACTTTATCTGACCTCTTTTTAAGCTTGAAGTCCAAATTATCGTGAGACATCTTAGCCAATGTAACTGGTTGACAACCAGCTAATGCAGCTATGTAACGAAGATCAAATGTTCTTCGAACACGAATACCGTAGTCGTCAAACAGATATTTTGCATCAATGCCAGGATCAACTCCAATCTGAATGATTTCATCATTTTCCAATATTTCCTATGAAAATTTGATGAACCAAAAAGATAGAGAATATGCACAAAAAAGGGATAGTTTAATTTTGAGATAAAATAAAATGCTCAATATCTTGACTTTGTACATTTTCCTCATTCACAAGTTTACACTTACTCTGAGATCCCAAGGAATATTGTCCAAATGTTGCAAACAAATGAGACCGCAATGACGTTGGTATGATTGTAGTTCTAACAAAGCAACTGGTGAATAGCTTACGAATTGAGTTCACTTATGAATCGTCGACACTCTGCCTTATTTTCAATCACATGCATGTTTTCATTTAAATGAATTTTGCTGTGAGCTTCCGATTGGAGCTGTAGTGAACCACTTTGCGCACTTTCCAAGCCATGATCTGAATTTACATTCTTCAGTACCTTATGAATGCCATATGCAACACCTAGTCCCATAGGGGTATTGCAAAGACCATAAAATATATGTATTTCATCAAGTTTATCAAGCTCTCTCCAAGTTTATGCATAGTGTCGAACTTTTGTTCAAGCTCTACCATCTAAATGTACAGTAAAATAATTTACGGGCTAGACGTTAGATGGCGTTTTTTCTGGTCAAAAAAGTTGCAATATCCTTTTGCCTAGCCCAACACCAGCGGCAATTGCTAGCCTTGCAATCGTTGGAAGATTTCGGTCGTCATCACCCATTTTAAAGTGTTAATAACAGATTTCAAAAGGAGCTTCACAAATTAAAGGAAAATTCCAAAATGATTGTGGCTAATTTGTGAAAAGGTCCGCTGTCTATTACTGCTAATCGATTCTATTTGATTGCCAAGTGATATGCAATTCATTTTTGTGCAGTTGAACAAAGAACTATATATGACTTTGCGAATATGTAGGTGTATTAAATCTGTGTTTGAACAATCTCACTATTCCACATCGTTAGATAATGTCAAAATAGAAATATTTATCGCATATATTGTATTGTTGAATATTTAACGAGTTATATGGAAATTAGCGAATATTCAACAAATCAGATGTTAATGCTCCAAAAAAGCATACCCATTGTTAAAATTCGAAATCACTGGTAGGAATCATTTGTGTGGCGTTGCAAGACCAATCCATAGCCACCGATATGAGGCCAAAATTTGATACCTTAGGGTACATAGCGGCCCTTTGGTGAGGCCTCGATAAGCATTTTCTACCAAAATGCTCAAACTGACCACACAAATGAACCAGTATTATTGAAAAAATGGGAAAAGTCATACTAAATGTCGAAGATCTTAAGGTATTCAATGCGTTCAAGCAGATTTGGGTGGTAAAAAATAATGTGAGTGCTATATTCTGGGGTGGTGACTAGCAAAATGGACCATTTTCGACATTTCACTATTTTGGTGGCGCCATCTGGATTAGAGAGTGATATTTTTGCTATAACCAATGTGTCAAATTGATGGTAGAGGATCACAAAAATGATTCCAAATTCGGTTCACTGTAAATATATTGGATATCTACTGAAAAAATGCCCATAAACTTCAGTGTACTAACAATTTTGTGAGACCCAAAAAGCGACACTTCCACATATTTGGTCCCAATTTTTTTATGTGTTCAATATTTATGTCAAATATATACATGAATATCTGCTAAAAGAGTTAGTCTTTTACAATCATGTGCTCATACAATTCATTTGTCACGAAAATTAATGAAAAAATGGCATTTTGTTCGGAAAAGCAAGGTGTACGAACAATTTTGTGAGTAACTGTATGTGTCTCAGCATTGGTTAGATCTTGTAAAGTATGAATTCAGTGGAACTCAACACTTGTTCAGTTGTATTAGATCATTTGATCCGCTGAGAATAAAATCAGCGTATTGAATTGGTCGCGGAACATGAAGAAACACAGCGTTTTTTCTAAATCGAGTTGCTGTAGTAATACAACGTATGAAACACTGATAGTTTACCTTGTGCAGCTTTGCTGAGTTGAACGTGACAAAAATTCAATTTTATCAATTTCGTGGATTCATCGACGCACCGATAACAAAAAACAAACAACGAATTACTATTTGTCAAGTTAGGTAAATGCCAAAGAAGGTGTTGAATGAAATTATTTGCGTATTTGCAATGAAATTAACGTTAAAATATCATTATTATTTTTTCATTTTAAGATATTGTTTCGAAATTTAACCGTCGCAAAATACTTCATCAAATTAATCTGGCCGAAATTGCACAGTGGAAAATGTGGGAGTTATGTCCAATATGTAACAAACCTTTGGTTTGTGAATCTACTCTATTAAAATTTAGAGCTTTGGTCGCTGGATGCACCGTAGGAGGCGGCGTTTTGGGCCTTATGTCACTTCCATTTATTGGATTCACAACCGGTGGTGTGGTCGCTGGATCATGCCGCGGCATGGCAGGCAGTCATAGGAAACATGGCGGTAGGAAGTCTCTTCGCTATATTTCAATATTTGGGAGTAACTGGCCTTGGGAATATATTATTCGGCGGTATTGGAACAGCGTTAGGTCTCCTAGTATCATATGCTGCCGAAATAGGTTGGTGTATGGGACATTAGCATCTGTTCCATTCCAAACGTGATTTTGATTGCTCGAAAATTGATTGTGTGTTTTAAATTGGTCTTCATTTAAATAAGAATTGTACATGTGTTTCAGATGAATAGATGAGGTTTGTTAAATTCGTGACATTTGAATTTTCGTTGAAAATGTAGAAAAAAGGGTCGACAGTTGTCAATGAATTTCAGTAGATTCAGAACCATTTTACAAACGGTCAAATCAATTACGATGAAATACAGTAAGCAAAAAAAAATCATTTCAAGCGTCATCTATCGCTGGTTTCTTAACAACTCTGCTTGTGCTTTCGCGATCCGATACAAATCCGATTGAACATGTTATATACGGTATTTAAACCACTTTCTTATCATTTAGATTATTTTAGAAATGCATTTTTAACAGCTATTGGTATTTTTTTTGATTCATGGAATTCATTCTTTTTGAATAAACCACAAAATGAGTGAAATTCGTCGAATGACTATGGGAGTTGGTACGGATTTAACGCAAAATTTTGTTCATAGTTGTCAACTTCATACGTGGAGGAAATAAGAATGCATCCGAAATTCATTTAAATTAGTAGAATCAAGAAAATTTTAGATTCAGATGAACACATTAAATTGCTTAAAGAAACAATTCATTGTAACCATACATTAACTGGGTGAAAAAATAAAAATAAAAATTGAAATTAAGATCCAAATTATTTGAACGGAATATTTTTTTACATTAAGCAACGTCTCTTTTAACAATAAATGGTGCAGATGCAAGTCGTATCAATATTTCGGGGCTATTTTGTTGAATAAAACCATCAAAAATAAATGTGAATGATGTAAGAACACAAAAGCTTAATTTTTTTTTTAAATTTATTATTCCACAACTTTGATGGAAAAAATATCTCTTGAAACGAAAATGCTGAATTAAACGAAATTTAATTTCTGTGCGATAATGACGACAAGGCACAGTTCAAAACGACATGTTTTTCGTTTCGTTTTCTTATTCCTCCCATGCTGATTACATTCGCCGTTCGACAATCAATAAGTCCATTAAATGCAATTATTCGCATTTTACACTGCCAACCGATGATTCAATTAATTAATTGCTCGATTGAGGAGCCTGATAAGTTGTGCATGCGCCGGAATAATAAATTATCAAATAGCGCAAAATTTGTTACTTTTTGCGACACACTGGCACACGCTGATCATTGCGACAAAAATGCTTTAAGATGCAAAAATGTGTTTTCTTTATTCTTCGGCTGCACATTGTGAGCCATATCAAGCTTGACTTTGTTTTTAGTTGATTAAGTGCAAATTAAAGAAAAAGGAATTAGCAAAACGAAAAAGATGTTTGCAATTGATCCCATAGGTCACGCAATAAAATTCATAAAAAAACAACTAAATTTAAAGGCTCAATGTGATAAGATGGATCTATAAAAGCAAATACTTGCGGTGCATTTGCATGCATCAAGTTCAGTACGATGGCAACCGCACGCAAAACAAGTAAGCGCTTT